CTGTCACGCATATATTTAGTGGCCGTTTCACTGGATTAGTGTATGATATGTTCGGTATTTTGGAAACCCATGTTGTTTGGCGCCTTGCAAGCAAAGTGACTTGTTGATCTCTTGTTTCTTTAGCTGTACTGAATGGGGATTGCATATGCTCTACCCTTCGTTATATAACCTGTGGTGTTTGCTTAGCCCGCCAGCGTTAGCGAGCTTTTTAACACATGGTGTCTTACGTGTGATGTATGCTCATCATTGATGATTTACTCACCATAAGGAGTCGTTGAATTGGTTTGCTATTCCAGAGTTTTGAATTTTAGCTGTTCTGGTCTGTGATTGTCAGTTGTAGATTAGTATAGGTTAACGCTGGATTATCTTAGTGTATGTGAGTCAGGCTTTAATTATCTGTATGATGTGTATTTATGAAGAGAGTGAGCAGGCATGAAAATCGGTGGTAAAAGCTATTAATATTGCTTGTAGGGGAGTTTTGTGTCTGGGGCGTGAAATGTTAAGGAAACAGCGTCAATCTGCTTTATAGCTGCAATCACTATGAAACCTGACAGTTGATCTTATCATGTGCTCTCTGGTTTCATAGTAGTTGTTTTCTGTGTCCTCTCTGTTTGCAGTTCAAAGCACGAGACAATGCTGGAGGCTCGCGGAGCGGCGCCCTGTCCGCATCAAGGGCCTTACCCTCGGACCGGAGCAAGCTGAAGAACGGCGCACCTCCGGAGTGAAGACGCTCCGGCCGCAGGAATAACAACCTTTCACTGCCAGATCTTGATGCCATGTCAATTCTGACATCCAACTCAAACAGTAGAAACATTCACTTAACATTTACTTATATTATAGACCTTTGACTGCTTCCTGTTCGGATCTTACAATACAATCTCCTAAATCAAACTTTAATTTCTTAAAATTGCAGCCTTTTCTAATTCCTGTTTTTTTACTGTGTTTGCTGCTTAATCAGTAGACGACTACTCAGCAAACCCTATATTGGATTTTATTCTTGTACATTATTTCAGAAATGATTTTCCACTTGCGCTTTAATATTTTATTGAAGAAATCAGACTCACCTGCTGCCCACTGTTCATAAATTATCAGTGGGCACTTTCCCCAGTCAAAACTGTCGTTATATATGAGATGATGAATCTGATCACCCCTTATTCAATTTGTCTTATAACAGACGCGCAATAGTTTACTTCTTTAGGTGTGATTTAGATGTAGCGCTAGAATTGAAATTTCAGGGTCTTAACAAATTTTTTCACCTGACAGGTATAAAGTCAAACTGTAATTTTTGATCTTTACTGGGCGAAATATAGCATAATGTAAGAACCACAAAGGGAATTAGAGATCTAATAAAAAGATAAATACAGGAGTATACACAGATATCTCCTCAGACTCGAGGGTGCGCCTGCTGATATATTTGCTGCTTTATGTCAAACATCAGTCTGTTTCTCTTCTTCTAGTTCTAGGTCTTCTCATGGCTCCGTCATGTTGTTTACCAGTGCTGACAGTGGTTTTGCTGTGGTTTGTTGTTGTTGTTGCAGCACATCTCCGTTAGCAGGATGCACAAGGACAGGTGACAGGGCAAACCCAGCAAAACCCAAATACAGCCCTTATAACAAACCGCACCGCCCAGCTCACTCATGTATATACTCATCTAGCCTCTCTCTCTCAAATTAGAAAACTCATTATCACAATGAATGATTGATTTGTTTCCTGAATTAACTTAATAATACATTTATTTACTTGTGTTACTCTTCTCCTTCTCTCTCCTCTCCTCTCCTCTCCTGTCTTCCTCCTCAGAAGGCAGTTGGTGGGAAGCCCTCCCTCTCTCCCTCTTTCCTCTCCACACCCTTTTGCCCCGCCTCCTCCCTCACCGTCCACCATCCATCCTCTCCTCTCCTTGCCCTTACCCCCTCCTCACTACCACCTCTCTCCCGTCAACCCCTGCCTGATTCTTCTCTTCCTAACCATCGCCCTCCAAATAACTATCCTTGCGTCCCTCTTCACAGCTCTCTCTCCTAGCGTCCGGCTTCCCTTTGGACCAATCAGTATAGCGAGCCAGAGGATCTGATTCTCTTCACACTCATGTTACTGATGTATGGCTGATGTGGCGTGTTGTGGAGTCTGAACTGCGACCTTTGACCTCTGATCCTCCAAGTTTGGGGGTTTTGGGCCACAGACGCAGAAGAGTTCCAGTCAGAGACAATCAGCTTCGCCTGAATCCATGGCGCAGGGATTCAAAACCTGCAACCTTCTCACCTGACTTGAGGCTTCTATATTGTAGACATGACGATACAGAACCTCCTCTGCTATTGTCTTTTGGAATCAGACGATTTCTTCTCTCTTCTCGGGTTCCGAAAATTCACAGCTGACCTGACAGGAAAGTATGAATGATGCTTATGTTCGAACCAGAAATGGTATCTTCGCCTGCCGTATTAAAGTAGTGCAGCATGACCCGAAGGTGAACAGGAGAAGGCAGACTGAAACGCTTGTCCCACAAATCTGTGCGCAAAAACTGCGGATTTTTAAAATGCAGTCATTAGGACTTGAGCTGGTGGATGGAAAATCCTGGGAAAGATTTACAGAATCAAACCCCTACAATTTGATAGAAAAGCAGATAAGTGGTCCAAAAAATAATCAGTAGCAGCTTTTGTATGTCCGTTTTTTTGTTTGTCCTCATTTGTCATTTTTTGAGCTCCAAGATTTTGTAGGCTGAGTTCAATATCTATTCAACTTGAGGGGAAATTATTCAGTTTTTGGTGGTGTTTCATTCCTCGATTCTTTTCTTTTTACCATAATAATTGAATTACACCTAAAGTGATCGCTGCTGTCAGAGTCTATTCTGATGGACAAAGAATTGCGTTTTGGGTGGCAAGCCTGATCTATCTGGAAAATTTAAAGTGTTGAGGTTGGGTTTGGGTTTAGAATATGTATTCTTGTGTATGGACTTGGAATTTTATATGAACAATATCATGAACCATCATGTCGAAATGTAAGTGATATTAGCAGATGTAAAAGTCTCATGGTATGTTTAATACTTCAAACTGCCGTGCTGGTTAAGATATTACACTACTGTTTGGGCTGCGCTAGATGAATTGCTGCTTTTCTTGATGCTATGCCTTTCTGTTGAGACCAAGACCCATAAGGGGTTTTTGATCTGAGAGAATGTCAGGCTTGCCGCTGTAGGTCCTCCCTCATTGGACTTGGTCGGGTCTTCAGGAGTTTTGCGAGGTGGGCGTGTGGTTCTGGCACTGCAACAATATTTTCTCACGGGCGAAAGCGACATAATCTCTTCTTCTTTCGCTGCTGGGAGGAACTATAACCGTGAGCACAAAATCTGTGGATGGTTCAGAAAAACTCGCTGGAGCATTCCTCCATCAGAACGAAGTACTGGAGTGCAGATGTCTTCATGTCAGCATCTTGACTGTGGCGCGTCCACATATGCGTGCGCCCCCTCTTTCAGACGTCCCTGCACTCATGTTGACTCGTTCCTAGACATACAGCAGGCTTTGTTGTCTCAACCCATTTGTTCCTACTGAAAGTCATGGCCAGCATTAAAGAATACCAATGGTTAAACTGGTCCCAGCACAACCTCACCACCCCTGAGTGTTTCACCTGCCAAGAAAAATTTTGGGGGGGAGGGGTTTTCTAAGGTTATCATATGAGAAAGGTTAAAAAGTAATTCAGGGTTTTAATATAATTAAATGAAATTCAACTTACAAGGGTTAGAGAAAGTAAAGTGATGTATCCTTTAATGAACATAGTTTTAACTTGTCCCGCCTGAGCAAGAAAATACCGAAAAAGCACAATTACTATTCGGTCTGTTCTGAACTATGTGGTATGGCAAGGTTCAGAAAGTACGCATAATATATATGTCATATAACAGGTTTTAACAGGTCGCGGTTGGCCAATATTATTCTTGTATGGTATTCTATGTCAGCAAAATTGCCCAATAAGCCATACGACAGACAAACATTGTATCACAGCTCTAATGATAAGAGTTCAGGGACGGTTGTAATTACTTCGTCATTGGTTTGAGTACACTTTTGCTGGAAGTTTCAAGATAACCAGAGTTTGTACTGACCTTTCGTATAGTTACAAGGTAAATGGAACCCTCCATCATGTTTGATCTATCTTGATTGCCACCACCCTGTTTATGTAAGCCTTATAAGTTTGTATCGTGCTGTGTACGTCGGCGTTGTTATCACATCATGGAAGTAGCGTTCGAATGTATGGTAGAGTCTTGGGTTATTTTCGCTATTTATCGTACAGTTGAACAAGCCTTATTTTCGGTCCTAACCCTGTATGTGATGTGTTTATGATGACGGTCGTGATGTTTCTTCGAAGTTTTGGTTTTGTGTGGTCAACGCTTCTGTAGACTTCAGTTGTAGTTTACTCATCTAGTTAGCGCTGTCTTTGTGTAAACGGGTTATATAGTGACATTCTGGTGTAGATAATCTTCTGTATTGCTCACTGTAAACTCCAAACCACGAGCGTCGTATGCGATGAGTGTCATGAGTGTGATACTTGTTCATTTAACTTTGCAACAGCAATCTTTAGTATAAACGTGTTTCTGTGGAGTAAATAATCTGAGATTCATGTCGCTTTACGTTTTCCGGATTAGGCTCATAAAAATGTGATCAAGGTAATGGTATTAGTG